TGGGGTCACGGCATTAGAAAGGTTGAGAACCACTGCCCTAGGGCAATTTGTCCACTTCTGTCCTTAGCTGTCTCACTAAGGATCTAGGAGGAGAGAACGATATTTAACTCCGGTGGCCTTAACCATTTCATCTTAGCCAAGGGAAAAAATAATTCATCAGTGGTGAGGATTGGATGCGTTTGAGAGACTCATAAGCCCAGATTACAGGGCAGGAGCCCCTTCAAGTGTGACAAGGCATAAAGCTTGCTGCCTCTGATTCAGGGATCTTCTCACTGTTGAGGGCTTGCTCCTTCAGGAAACCATCCAATCTGCTTTTGAAGCATTCCAGCTGGCTGTCGTAAGCACAGCCACTGGCCGTGAATCCAGGAGAGTCCACAGGGATGGGTGTCAAAATCTGCACAGTGGAGGGCATGGCACAATGCAGACTCTGTTCCCCTTAAAGATGTCCCAGAGGAAATTCCTTTGCCAAACCCTCCATATTTTAGTTTTGGGGAAGTCCCAAACTGTGCCATTTGGATGTAAACTTGGGATATGTGCTGAATTGGTGCAAAGTGTCTTTCAGGTTGGATATCAGACTAGTGAAAAAAAATTGTGGAAGGGCCTCGAGCTCCGATGGCCATATTTTATAGTGAGGGCCACTAACTGGACTCTGGCCTGATAGATACGCGTCCATGTTATAAAGCCCTCAAGTGCACGGACAAAGAGGCTCTTCCTTTGGGGCTAGGCTACCACCTGTGAAACTTTTAGAAAGCCCAAACTATCCTAAATCGTAAGTATTGTTTAGTTGATTACAGAATAAGAGAACAGAGTTGGAAGGGACCTTGGAGGTCATCTAGTCCAACTCCCTGCTCAGGCAGGAAACCCTACACCATTTCAGACAAATGGCTGTCCAGTCTCTTCTTAAAAACTTCCAGTGTTGGAGCATTCACCGCTTCTGGAGGCAGGTTGTTCCACTGCTTAATTGTCCTCACTGACAGGAAATTCCTCCTTAGTTCCAGGTTGCTTCTCTCCTTGATGAGTTTCCATCCATTGCTTCTTCTCCTGCCTTCAGGGGCTTTGGAGGACAGCTTGACCCCCCTCTTCTTCTTTGTGGCAAATAGTAAAAGGTCATTTGCTTTTCAAAATATCAACAACATCTACATTTCAATTCCTTCTCCTTTTCTGGATTGTTCCAGGTGTGGTTTAGATTTTGCACATCACAAGTGAGAATACGGCTAGTGGCTGAGACCCTAATGGTCTCTGTGGCTGAAGAGAACAAAGAATTGCATTGCTTTGCAGGAAGATTGTGGCAGGTTGTAAATGCCAAATAATTAAAGGATGCATATAAATAAATTATGCAATTCAAATGGCTGATTTTTGACCGTCAAAATGCTACGTGTTCCAGAGCCTGGCTATCTGACCAAGCATCTCTTGTCTCGTGTCTCCCTGAGGAAACAGGGATCCTGAGCTTAGGCAAAAGCAGAATCCATAGGTAGAAACTACAAGGACACCATACAAGTGACGCAGTTGTGTAATTTGTATCAGTCGCATTATGCTGTAATTTTCCTCTTCTCTTTCTTGAGGATAGGTTAGTAGCTGCTCCTCTTCATTCTTTTGGGACCTTGCTGGTTCTATAGAGTTCTCAGAGACTACACAGAAATAGTTGTGTCGTTGCCTTCCCCAATTCTTTAAGCATCTAGGCTGTAGTTCGTCTCATCCTAGAGACTTGAATTAATTTATGTCAGCTGTGTTATTCTTTATTGTCTCCTTGTCATTGCTAAAAACCATCTACTGCAATGACCAACTACTCAGAGAGAGAAGACAGACGTGAAGTACCAGTTAAGTTCTTCCCTCCTTAACACCCCAAGGTGTTATAGCTTCTTTCTTTCTTCTGTCTCTGCCGTATCCAGAGTCCCTTTTCTGTTGTTTTTGTTGTTTGGGGTCTTTCTCGTGATCCTCTGCTCATTCTGCATCTTCTGATCTGGTCTGCCACATTTCTGGGCTTTGCCTTGCAACCTACTTTGATTAGAGGGCATCTTCCCCATGTCAACACTGGCAAGCTTGGATACGGAGTGCAGAGTCAGAGACAAAATTGGGGCCAAGGCCGTCTCCCAAGGATGAGATTAAAAAAATGTCAAGATGGCAGCCACATTTAAAAAATGGAGCAGGGCTTCAATCACAGGGACACAACTGCCATCTTGACTTTTTTTGTTTTACATCTGCAGAGATGGTCCTCACTGGAACCCCTGCCCCACCCCAGCAGATTCTTTGATTTCCTTTTCATCATTGCTTCAGCTGCGGTGATTGTTTGAAGATTGAATCAGAGAATATTGAGAACCGCAATATACATGCAGATGAAGTCAAATGCCAAATGTATTCCTGCCAATTTTCAGTGATGTATAGATGCTCAAAAACATTTAACTTAGGAATTCTTAATTAAATAAACCATCCAGTAGTGAGATTGTGTTTCAGATGTGTCAAAGTATCATGGCAAACTACATGGCAGCTCTTTTGCACAAAGATTCCATTATACATGTTGTTGTTATTTTAATCAACCCTTGTAGAAGAGGTTTTTAAAGCTGTGTCAAGGGATTTGAGTGTTCTGTTAATGAGATCTGTGCATGGCTAACTTCCTTCCATCTATGCCTGGTACGCATTCTTTGCCAACAGTGATTGAAGCTTTCTGATAGGCAAATAGACGGAGAGAAGAAGCAACTCCCACTAATCCCTCAAAAATCCATTCCATGCATCTGTTGAAAGGAGGCATCAATATTCAGGCTCGGTGACCACAGAACGGCCCGTATGTCGTCACTGCCCAGGTTCTGTGGTCCCCGGGCCAGAATTCCACTCTAGTAACCTTTGAGGTTGTCAATGGTACTTCTCCAATATCCCAACCTGAGATCCTTCTTGGAGTCCATCTGAGGTCCTGGTGATTTTGGGGACATCTATGTAGTTTTCTTGCAAGAATATGGAAGCGGTCAGGCTGTAGTCTTGATTTTTCCTGATCTCCCCTGTAAACTCTAACCATATCTGATCGTGCTTAGCTTTTGGAGACCAGCTAAGACCTCACTCTGCAAGCTGCTACTTAACCAGACATTGTTGTCCCTGCTCTTTAGAACACCAGGGCCGTTAATAGTGAAAAGCAGCTCTTGAACTGAACCCAGAGACCATGATCTGGACCCGGGACACTGACTAAGAGTAGGTACCTGATTGTTCCAAGGAGAGTGGGTGGAGGAATTTGCCCCTGTTACTTGCATTCTGAGGCTCCTGGACATGCTTCAGATACTTGCTGTACACAGCAAGTTCTGTTCTAATTGATGGCTGCCTTCCCTCCAGCAGCTCTTTCAAGGCCGTGCCTTGCCTGAATCGCTGCATTCCATCGTGGCTTTGTACGTGAACCATCTTGAAGTGTTCTCCGTTGGCATTTCTTATTAAGAGAGTTAATCAGCAAATATTATGTTTGCATTACATTCGTCACTAAGAAAGGCAGTGCAGTTATGTTTTGTACGGAGCTGTGATGTTTTGGCATTTGATCCGCTTGTATAAAGAAGCCACAACATTTATTCTCTGCTAATCACTGAAATTAGGTAGGAAGATGAGAACTGGATGTGCTTTAGAGGTTGGGAGGCTGGGTGGGAGGGAGGTGTAAGAGCCAAAGGCAGAGAAATCTTAGCTCCAGAGAGATTCTGTTATGAAAATGAACATGAAACAAATTCTTGCAGACCTTCCTGTCTACTTGATGGTAATAAAACTTCCAGCATAGTGACAATCCTTCTGTCTATTACACCTTTTTCAGGAAAGTTTGGCATTATTTCCCTGGTTCTAAATCTACTGTCACTTCAGCCGGGATTCATCTCGGATGCTTCTAAGGACGGGAGATTTTTGCCTCTCCTTAGCTTTCAGCAAAATCCTGAGGCTTTTAAACTCTTGATATAGTTAGTATCTTCACTGTCCCTCGTGACAGTCTGTAACTCTTCTATGGACATTCCCACAACCTCCTTGATCCTGTGTATCCACCCTATCCGTTGTGTCTCCCTTCCTCTCCTTTCCTCAGTTTTGTCAGGCACTGTGTTTTTGCTGATTCAAGTCCCTGCTAGGATGACACAAAAGTCTGCTTCATCACAAGGAACCAAACTATAGCCCTGCTTAATCAGCAGAAGAGTCCTGCTAGCCCAGCATCTTGTTTCCAAGAATTTGCTTCCCCTTTGCCAGGAGCATTGTGGGATTCAGACCCACAACCTTATAAATTGGAGGTAAATGAACTGAGAAGGGATCCCGCTGGGAGCCAAGAATCTGAATGCCGTTTTGGGTCTGTTCATGCCTGGGACAATGTACCACAGTATGCACAGGGTTTAATGAAAATTATAAATGTGTCCGTTACAATTACTGAAAATGCTTCTTTGACTAAACATTTGGGATACTTTTCTGGACTGCTGCAAACCATTTTCCAGGTCTGAAGAATCTGACTCTGAAATTTATGCTTACGAGCTCCTATTAATCATTCACCACTTCATGTTTATAATAATGAGCATGAATGTTGGTCAAATAAAGTCATTCCCTGCTTTTTTCTTCTTCTTCTTTTTTTTGTGCTGTGGTTTAAAATTAGAAGGGACGAACTGCAGTCGTCCTGCATTCTGCAGCCAGGCTCAGCCAAACCCCTCCATACTCAATGTGAATTTCAGCTACGACGGTTTCCAAAAATCCAAATCTAAGTTTAATACCTGTTTCTCGCACCTCCCCACTTCCTTGTTTTATGAAAGGGCCAACATTTTGTGAGACAGATGGCACTCGTGCTAAGTGTGGTCCAAGAGAACCAGGCCTTATCGAAAGTCACACAAGGTCTCCAGCTCAACGGCCAGAACAAAGAGGTTGAGATAAGTGAGCGTAATTACAGGAGCCATTTTACAGCCCGTCCCCTCCTCCTGTGGGCCATCGCCTTCCCCAGCCAGCTTCTCTAGCGAGGAAACAGAAAGAACGGCTTCCCTGAGTCCTCCTCATGCTGCTCTTCTGCTTTTCCCCAGAGCCTTGTCCTCGGTGGTGGCCTTGGGGGCAAACATCATCTGCAACAAGATCCCAGGCCTGGCCCCCCGGCAGCGAGCCATTTGCCAGAGCCGCCCTGATGCCATCATAGTCATTGGAGAAGGGGCCCAGATGGGAATCAATGAATGTCAGTACCAGTTCCGGTATGGCCGGTGGAACTGCTCGGCACTGGGAGAGAAGACCGTCTTCGGTCAAGAGCTTCGAGTAGGTAAGGCTCTCTGTAAAGCAATGCTCTGTATTTTGCAATCTTGTCTTCTGCCTTTCTTTCCACAGTAGGTTTTTTTTTTTTTAAAAAAATGTCATTTTTTAAAACACACAACACACTATGTTTTCTTCTCTGCCTCTCCTTCCTTCCTTCCTTCCTTCCTTCCTTCCTTCCTTCCTTCCTTCCTTCCTTCCTTCCTTCCTTCCTTCCTTATAGATAAGTAGAGACGATTCCTGGATCCAGTACAATATATGCATGCTTAGTTAATCAGTTTTACAAAATTAGAGATTGATCACAGTGAGTTACCACTCAACAAAGTTCCCAGATGTAAGAATCTCATATCCAAGGCTGAAAAGGTATCAATTCATATTTATGATAGGCCACTGCAAAAACCTTTTAATTTCTCCTATTATTATTCTGTAGCAGGATAACGAAAGATGTAAGACAAAAATAGCATATTCATTTCAGAGATCTTTCCTTACCTAAACAGAATCCGCATGATCACAGACGGGCAAAAATGCAGTGGGACTCGGAGCAATTTCTGACTTCCTGTAGGCTTCTCCATTGACATCAATTGTGGGAAGCTGGCAGGAAGCACTAGAAATCGTGGTTCCTTAACTGCAGTTGCCCAGCCAGCTAATACGACTGGTCTGAAAATCCTCGCAATTTCAATATCGGGTGTAATGATTCCCAGATTTTGGACTCCACACAGGGGCCTTTGTGGGAAAAAATTGAGAGAGTTAAAATGTTGGTGGCAACTGAACAACCGCTGTAGAAAAAGGGGCAGGGCTTGATGACATGGTTGCAGCTGCATCGAAGAGCTGTGGTGGCGCAGTGGTTAGTAGGCAGAACTGCAGGCAAATTCTGCTGAGTGTCGACTGCCAGCAGTTCAGTGAATCTCACCAGCTCAAGGTCAACTGAGCCTCCTGTCCTTCCGAGGTCGGTAAAAATGGGGACCCAGTTTGTTGGGGGGCCATAGGTTGACACTGTAAACCGCTTAGAGAGGGCTGCCAAGCACCGAGAAGCGGTATATAAGTCTAAGTGCTATTGCTATCGCATCTTGACTTTCTTAAGTCCCACACCTCCGTGGTCATCCCTGCTCCAAAGACAGAGAATTGATGTAGCTCAAGGTTGAACTGTTGGGTTCTTGGTGTTACCTGAGCTTGTCTGGTTTCCTCCAAACACCTGGTTGTCAGACTAGGGAACTCCACCCGGGCAGGGGAGAGGGGGGTCTGCTGGCTGTTTCTCTGTGGCAGCTGCCCATTCCAGTCTTGTGGTGGGTTCCTTTCTTGAAAGTTCCTTAATTAGGGTATGGTTTCTTCCCTTACCGAAGCAGCACCAGATATAGAATTAAGGACGAAACAGTCCCCACCCCGTTTTCATACAACAGCTGTCAATAGCTTTTTGCCGGGTAAGGATATGTGGAATAATAGGAAACAGGGGACGATACCAGCAGGCTACGGTGGCAAATCAGATACGAGAAACAATAGGATTCCTGGGCATTGCTGTCTGTTTGCATCTGCTTGAAATTATTTTTCAAACCTGGTGGGGTAAGAAATCACATTCCATCTTCCGCTCTAATGGAGATAAATGGGAAAACATTTAGGAGGGTTGGGTTTTGTTTTGTTTTTTTGCCATTATTTATATATTATTCATACCTTGCATCTTTACTGTATCATTTAGAGTAGAATAGATGAGGAACTTCTTATTAATGGCAGTGAATCCACAAATTATTGCAAACCTTCAACCCTGCATGTGGATTCAGTCTTTTGGTGGGTGTTGTTTGTTCCTTTTAAGCATCGGTTCGGTTGCCTCCATCCCTCACCGCGACAGCCAGCGATAAAGCCTGGTTTGTGGCCTTCATGACCTCGTCAAGGAGGAGCCCCCCCTGCACCACATACGAGAAAGCAGCAGAGCAGAGATTAAGATTAAATACATTTGGAATGTGGTGGCTGCGTGTTCTCACCCTCCATTTTGTGCAGAAAAAATTTGAACCTCTGGGACTGCTTTGCATCTGGATTCATGCCTAGTCTTTTCATTCCCTGTTTTTATACGACTCGAGTGGCTGCATCCTTGCTTTCAAAAAGAAAAACTGAAACCGTCAGGACGTAGAGTTGCACAATAACATAAAATGGGTGGTCCTTGGCTTACAACAGTTCATTTAGTGAACATTCAAAGTTACAACGGCACTGAAAAAAAGTGACTTATGACTGCTTTTCACACTTACGACCTTTGCAGCTCCCCATGGCCACGTGATCAAAAATTGGATGTTTGGTAACTGACTTATATTTATGACGGTCGCAGCGTCCCCTTGAGGTCATGTGATCCCCTTTTGTAACCTGACAAGCAAAGCCAGATTCACTTTACAACCGTGTTACCAACTTAACAACTGCAGTGGCAAGAAAGGTCATAAAATGGGGCAAAACTCACCTAAATGTCTCACTTAGTGACAGAAATTTTGGGCTCCGTTATGGTCATAAGTTGAGGACTAACAATATCCTTCTTCTATACCTGCATCTGTGCAGTGGTTTTAATATCCTTACTCTTTGGCTCCATTTATTAAAGCGAAGGAGGAAGAGAGAGAGATCTTAAACCAAGTTTGACAGTTTTGATAAATGAGAAATGATTTTACCTTTAAAATTATTATTCATGCTAGGGTTCAGCCCGTTCCTTTGTCTCATATTACATACCAGTGGCATTGATATTTAACTGTGAATAAGTACCATTAATGTCAAGTTAATGTTATGCTTATTTATTGCAAAATATATTTATTTCCATTATGGGAAAGCTACCTTGAGGATATCTTTTCAATCCAATAAAAACATTGGGAATGTTAAGAAAGCTGGAAATAATTTGAGAGAGAGAGAGAGAGAGAGAGAGAGAGACAGAAAAGAGGACAATGTGGATAATTTTTAAACGTGATGCAGAAGTGCACTCTGTTGTTTTCTAAGTACTAAGAAAGTATATTTTGAATTGTACTGAAGTTGATTCACATAAGGCCAGGCTGTGAATATTCGTCCCTATAAATATCTTACTGTTCACGAGTAATAAAATGTTTTTCTGCAGGGAAACTTTAAGCAAGGAAGCACTTTTCAACAAGAAAATACAGAGGGATATTTTTATTAACGTACTTATAATTAAACACACAATTGTTTTATAATGTTGTTACAAAACAGCAGTTTATATAATGGTGTATTCCAACCAAGTATAATGTTGTAGTGTAACGTATACGTAAGTCTAAACAGCATTTTTCAAATTTGACAACTAGAAGTTGTGTGGATTTCAATGTGCTGGCTGGGGTATTCTGGGAATTGAAGTCCACGCACGTTGAAGTTGCTAAGTTTGAAAATCATGGCTCTAACAAAAACCACACACACAATAGTATTAGTTTCCACGTGGCTCTTCCAGCACACAACTGAATCAAAGGATATGTGGGTCACATGGAGGTCCTTCAAGAAATCTTGCGTGCACATAAAGGGGTAAGATGCAGCAAGACTCTAAATGTGTCCGGGTGTGTGTGTTGCTCTCTGAGCTTGGCTGTTTGCTTGCAGATGTTTCATTACCTAACTAGGTAACATCATCAATTCAGCTCTGAGTTACAAATATTTTCTTCTATTGTCCTGGTGTATTTCATGAATTCTCAGCTGATGAATGATCAGTGAGAAAAAGCACACAAACAGCTACATTCTGGAGACTGATCAAGGAGTAGAGTGAGATCTGGCAGAGGTGTCCACGGGAGAGGTGAAAAAGTCAAGAGGATGTCCACCACCTGCCCTTTTTACACGCACCTCTGTGGGTCCCTAATCTCTGAAAAAGCTGGGCTGGCCCTTCCAGTCCTGACGGGGCTCTCGGGGTGATTTTGATCCATCATAAACTCATTCAGTGCATGAGGATGTTTCAGATGGGGAGGGGGCTACCAAGGAGGCTTTGGATGAGCAGGTCTCACTCCCAGTGCTCCTTTAGTGAATTGAAGCCTTTTTTAAAATAAGGAGATTTTTCAAATATGGCTGCCCTCCAAAGGGAGGAGCATATTCTGAACTAAGATGATTAAAAACGTGAAGACCCAAAAATATGAAAAACGGTTGCAGGAAAAAAGAGAAAAAGGACTAGGGGGTCACATGTGACTAGGGGGACACATATGAGGGTCACAGCCCCTCAAATCTTTCAGTATTTGAGGGGCTGCCACAAAGAAGAGGGGGTCAGGTTATTCTCCAAAGCACCAGAAGGCAGGACAAGAAGCAATGGATGGAAACTAATTAAGGAGAGAAGCAACCTGGAATTAAGGAGAAACTTTCCACCAGAAGTCGTGGGTGCTTCATCCCTGGAGAAGAGACTGGACAGCCACTTGTCTCAAATTGTAGAGGGTCTTCTGGTTGAGCAGGGGGTTGCACTAGAAAACTTCCAAGGTCCCTTCTAGTTATATTGTGATTGACTGATGGATTTTCCGAAAGAAATGGTTAAATCCAAGGTAGCTAAGTGGCTTATGGATTGGGCTACAGTCTCCAGGATCCCAACCTGGTCATTCAGCAGCCTGGAAGTTCTGGAAACTGAAGTGCAGGCACTCAAAGAACACGTGGTCAGGAAGAGTCGGATCAGGCTGAAGACGGCACTTGCTTTAGAGATACGTCCTTCATTAAGAAGACTCCTTCTACCACATTATACCATTCATCCCCTTAGCTAAGGATAATCAAACATGACTTTAGAGGAATCAAACTGATCTGCATTTTGGTACAGACAAGTCTTGACTAATGCACTAATATATGATTTGGAGCAACATATTTTGGTCTTGGCATTAGTCTGAACCTAGCCATGTAATTCCCCCATCTGGAAATCTATCCAAAATTACTGGGAAATTGCACTGAGGGGGAAATCCCAGCAGGAGTGCGCAGGAGCTGCAGGGGAATAATATAAATTGTGGGGTGAGAAACGATAAAAAGTCCTTTTAGATAAAACCAAAGGCAAATTATGTTGCAAGCCAGCAGACAACAAGCCTTGTTTTTCAG